GGGGCCCCGGGGCGGGCTCCTGTGAGCCACCAGCCTGGTCCTGGGAAGAGGCAGAGGGCTGGGTGGCAGCGGGTGGCTGGTTTATGCCGTGCCAGGTGCAGGGTCTGCTGGCTGGGTGCTGGCAGGCTTGCAACTGGCATGAGCACCGTAGCCAGACCGTGCCCCTTTAAGGACTCCGGGGCCGGGAGGGGGGCAGAAAAGTTTCCCTGGTTTGGCCCAGAGTGGCCACCAGGGCAACCTGGGAAGGGCTAGTCTCCAACTAGTTCAAATTAAGTGGCTACACAGCCCTTAATTCGAACTACTTAATTAGAACTAGGCATTAGTCCTCATAGAATGAGGTTTACCTAGTTCAAATTAAGCGCTCCGCTAGTTCAAATTAAATTCGAACTAGCAGTTTGTATGTGTAGCCCCTATTAAAGTTAATTTGAACTAACGGCTGTTAGTTCGAATTAACTTTGTAGTGTAGACATACCCTTATTGTTTAAAGAATGTGAATATTTTAATCATGTGATTAATTGTGATTTTTAATTTCTTCAGGAGTCCTAATATTTGTATATCTTACTTAATTTCCATCTGTTGGTCACTATGATTGAAAAAATCTGCACCCACTTGCTAGTGCTCTGTCAGGGTTGCTCCCAGGTGACTGGAAAATTACTATACTACTTGCAGGTTGCAGCAGGAGAAAAGATTCCTTTAATGCAGGAAGAAATTGCACTCAGTGGCCATGCATTTGAAGCTAGAATATATGCTGAAGATCCTAACAATAATTTCATGCCAGGAGCTGGACCCTTACTCCACTTATCTACACCACCACCTGACAGGTTTACCAGGATAGAAACAGGAGTCAGACAAGGTAACATTGAAGATGGTATTAATTGAAAATACCTGTTTTAATGAGCTGGTCTTTTAAAATGTGCTCTCAAGCAATTCCCCTTTGGCTGTGGTTTTTTAATCTTGTGCATGTGCTTAGCTTGAGACCAGAACTTGCCCTGACAATATTGTCATAATTATAAAACACTACAGACTTCTCCTTTAGGATTCCACTGTATCTTGATTGGATCCCTAAATATCTCATCCTCCTCTTCCCACTCCAGTTATTGCCCTTATGGGATAGGCAGACTAGATTTCTTTCAAAACTTGTCAGTACTCCACGTTAATTCAGCAAAGAAGGTTGGTGTTCAATAACATCCTTCTGTAACATTCCAAACTCAGGTTGGTTTCTGAATTAAGAGATGGCTCCATAAATCAAACCTGAGTTTTCTATGTGGCCATTTCAGAGCACTAGCCACTAGGTCTGTCAGTGTATGGTATGACTACAGTGATAGTATCACCCTTATAAAGTGTCGTAGTGAACATACTTAAGTAAAGGTGTGTTTCATTGTCTTAGAAATCATTTCCTTTTATTTATATTTTAGGTGATGAAGTTTCTGTACATTATGATCCTATGATTGCTAAATTAGTTGTTTGGGCTGAGGATCGCCAATCAGCATTGAAAAAGTTGCGGTACAGCCTTCATCAGTACAATGTGAGTATCCTCTTGTTATGTATTTGTTCAGTACGTACCACAATGGGATCCTGGACATTACAGAAATACAAATAATAAAGGGATCCAATATGATTTCACATCTGATTCTACATACACTATTACACAGCTCCTATCTCTCTAGTAACAAAATGCTATTACAGAGGCAAAAGAGTTTTTAAGAGGGACTGATTTAGCTACAGCCAATCTGTTTCAATGTATTTATTTACTCTAGTACTTTATACATTGATAGCTACGTTTTTCCTAATTTTCTACACCATTTAAATCAGTGTAATAAGTGGAGCTCTGATGCTGTGCCTGAAATGTAAAGTTATGTTTTGGTCTTGAATTTTCCTGATGTTTGGGGATGTCTTGGATCTGATGTCTAGGGTGCATCTACACAGCAGGGCTTAACTTGAAATCAGCTAAGCAAATTGAGCTACGTCAATTGCGTAACTTATTTCAAAATTGGGAGTGTCTACACAGCACTTATTTCGAAATAGAGCACTCTTCCTCCAACTTGCCTTACTCGTACAATGAGGGTTACAGGAGTCGGAGTCAGAAGTCCTCCAGCTTGATAGTATTTCAACATTATTTCAAAATAATGAAATAATACACCTGCTGTGTAGACACGAACAAAGTTATTTTGAAATAATGTTGCTCTGTAGACATACCTTTAGTTTGGAACTTTTAAAATTTAGAAAGGATTGTTCAGTATTTTAAATTTTACTTGTATTTATTTTCACAAAGTAAAACACACACTAGTGAAGACTTCAGAACATTTTGATTGCAAAAAAAATTAGACTTGAAGCCAATTGCAATGCATAGTTTATTTATATTTACTAATTTTAAAAAATATTTTTTCAAGGGACACAATCAAATTGGGATTCTGAAAATGTTTTGTGTGCTATTGTTAGAAGTAATACACAAGATAATAACTTAATAACTGAGAGAGATCACAAATATATTATACTTTTTTTTAGTTCCTCTAGTGTGAGCATTTGACAACACGTTATAACTAATCAGTTTCACTAATTTCTCCTAGATAGTTTCCTCTGTTGTTTGTTGGAGTCTTTTGCACAGCAGCAGAAGAAAGAGAATCTAATGATTTTTGTAAAATAGTATAAGTCCACTGCAGATGTAGCACCTAAAACAGGTTTTAATTCTTTTTTAAAAAAATTACTACATTTCAAGTTAACAATTTTTTTTTTTAAATCCTGAGGCAGGATTTCCAAAAGCATTCAACACTGGCCTCCGTCTGCTCCCATTAACATCAGTGGTTAAACTCTTTTTGGCTTCAGTGAAGGAAGAGGTGAGGTAGGCCCAAAGTGAGTGCTTTTGAAAATCTTACTCTTGTTCTTCAAAGGAGGTAGTTTCTTTAATAATGGGATATCTACCAATTGAAATGTTTACACCTTCTCTTGTCAGTGCTCTACTACACTGATGTCACTTTTTAAAAAGACTTCTCTTATGTATAACTTGAGCAGACAGCTGTAGGTCCATTAGCAGTTCTTTATTTTTGTTTAAAAATACATTATCTTTTTCTTTTTTGTAGTGTTGTAGTAGCTGTGTTGGTCTCAGGATTTGAGAGACACAAGGTGGTGAGGTAATTCTTGGACTAACTTCTGCTGGTGAAAGAGACAAGCTTTCAAGCACTAGGGAGTTGAAGAAAAGCACAATGGAGCTCAAAAGCCTTCTCTCTCTTACCAAGAGAAGTTAGTCAAATAAAAGGTATTACCTCACTCACCTTGTCTTTCTTTTTCTTGACAGATCGTAGGACTAAGCACCAATATTGAATTCTTACTAAGCTTGTCAGGACACCCACAGTTTGAGGCTGGAAACGTGCACACCAATTTCATTTCACAACACCATGATGAGCTGTTTCCAGTGAAACAGGCTACTCCAAATGAAGTTTTGTGCCAGGCTGTTCTAGGACTCCTATTGAGAGAGAGAATGATGACAGATGCTTTTAGAGTTAAGTCTTATGGTAAGATAATTTTTTCCCTTTTCTTTAGTTTGTTTTTCTTTTGAGGGGGTGGGACAGAAATCAGAGATTCTATCCATTTAATTAATGCTGTCCTCCTTTTTTGCCTCTTTTTTCACTATTTAATCTCCTGATATCTGGTTACTACCATCCACTGAGAGGGCCAGAATATAATTTTCTTTAGGTGACAGATTTGATTCAGGTGTTCTTTACTAAATATAAAAAGGGGAATGTTCTGGGGAGTGTTCTAATGTACTTCAGATAGAAACACGCAACTCTCCATTCACACGTGTCATTTCCACTTTGCTCCTGTCATAGAACCGTAGAAGGATTTGGCTTGGAAGAGACAGGTCATGTAGTCCAACCCCCTGCTCAAAGCAGGACCAACCCCAACTAAATCATCCCAACCAGGGCTTTGTCAACCCGGGACTTAAAAACCTCCAAGGATGGAGATTCTACCACCTCCCTAGGTAACCCATTCCAGTGCTTCACCACCCTCCTAGTGAAATAGTTGTTCTTAATATCCAACCTAGACTTTCCCCACTACAACTTGAGACCATTGCTCCTTGCTATTATCTGCCACCACTGAAAACAACTTAGCTCCTCCATCCTCTTTGGAATCCCCCTTCAGGTAATAGAAGACTGGTTTCAAATCCCCCTCATTCTTCTCTTCTGCTGACTAAATAAGCCCAGTTCCCTCAGTTTCTCCTTGTAAATTATGTACCCTAGGCTCCTAATCATTTTTGTTGCCCTCTACTGGATACTTTCCAGTTGGTCAACATCCTTTCTGTAGTGGCAGGTCCCAAAATGAACACAGTACTCCAGGGCTATGTCTACACTGGCGCGATCTTGCGCCAGAGATATGCAAATGAAGCTAAGCATGGAATATCGCCGAGCCTCATTTGCATACCTAATGAGCTGCCATTTTGCAGAAGAGGCTCTTGCGCTAGAAGGAGCTGTCTACACTGCCCCTTCTTGCGCCAGAAAAACCCTCTTGCACAATGCCGCTACGCTGATTATTGTCAGGAATAACGGCATTGCGCAAGAGGGTTTTTCTTGCGCAAGAAGGGGCAGTGTAAACAGCTCCTTCTGGCGCAAAAGCCTCTTCCGCAAAAAATGGCGGCTCATTAGGTATGCAAATGAGACTCGGCTGTATTCCACGTTTAGCTTCATTTGCATACTTCTGGCACAACAACCCGCTAGTGTAGACGTAGTCCAGATGTGTCCTCACCAGTGCCAAATATAGGAGAATCATTACTTCCCTCGATCTGCTGGCAGTGTTCCTACTAATTGAGGCTATTAGTCTTCCTGGCAAAGGGGCACATTATGCCATTAGTCTTCCTGGCAAAGGGGCACACTACTGACTCATATCCAGCTTCTTGTACACCGGGGTACAAGAAGCTGGGCCAGATCCAGCTTGCAAAGCCGGTGGATCCAGACCGTGGCTACCCTGCTGCTCCCCCACACCCAGGTCAATCAAGACTTGGGGATAGGGGAGCGTACATAGTCTCCTCCCCCACCAGGGGCACGTGGCATCCCAGCAGGGTAAGAGCAGAGGGGGGAGAGACTTTGGACGCTCCCCTACCCCAGGCCAATCAAGATTCTTCAATTGGCCTGGGGGCAGGGAGAGTGTGCGAAGTCTCCTCCCCCTGCCAGGGGCATGCGGCATCAGAGGGAACCATCAACTGTTTTAAAACAGCCGTCGGTTCTTTCTAGCATCCACGTGCCCCTGGCAGGGTGGGGGCTGAGGGCAAAGGACTTTGTATGCTTCCCCCCACCTCCAGGCTCTGATTGGCCTGGAACAGGGAAAGTGCACAGAGTCTCCTCCCACTGTGGCACCTAGAGGGAACCGCCAGCTGCTGGCAATTCTTTCTAGGCATGGAGTGGGGGCAAAGACTTCACATGTTCCCCCAGGCCACTCAGGGTCAATGGGTGGGGGAGCACAAGAAGTCTCTTAACCCCACCCCTTCTGGGGTGGCTTTGGGCCACTTCAGAAATTTGTGAAGTGGCCCCCTTTTAAAAATTATTGCCCACTGCTATTGTACACTATAATCCCCAGGCCCTTTTCTGCAGAACTGCCGCATAGCCGGTTAGTCCCCAGCCTGTAGCAGTGCATGGTCTCTGCATTTCTCCTTGTTGAACGACAAATTTCTTTTGGCCTAATCCTCGAATTTCTCTAGGTCACTCTGGATCCTGTCCCTACACTCCAGTGCATCTGCCTCTCCCCCCAGCTTAATGTCATGTGCAAACTTGTTGAGGATGCAAGCCATTCCATCATTCAGTTGATTAAGGATGTTGAACAGAACTGACCCCAAAACCTACCCCGGCAATCTGCTTGATACCAGCTGCCAACTGAACATTGAGCTGTTGCTCACTATCTGTTAAGCCTGATGGTCTAGCCAGCTTTTTGTCCACCTTCTAGTCCATTCATCCAAGCCATACTTGTTTAACTTGCTTGCAAGAATACTGCAGGAGACTATATTGAAAGCTTTGCTAACGTCAAGGTATATTACATCCAGTGCTTTCCCCATGTCCACAGATCCAGTTATCTCATCATAGAAGACAGTCAGGGTGATTTGGCATGATTTGCCCTTGGTGAGGGCACATTGACTGTTCTTGATGACCTGTCTTTCCTCCATGTGCTTCAAAATGGATCCCTTGAGAACCTGCTCCATGATTTTTCCAGGGACTGAGATGAAGCTGAGCAATCTGAAGTTCCCTGGATCCTCCTTTGCTTTTTTAAAGATGTGCACACTATTTGCCTTTTACCAATCATTCTGGATCATCCCTGGTCATCACAAATTTTAAAAAATAATGGCCAAGGGCTCTGCAGTCACATCAGCCAACTCCCTCAGCAGCCTCAGAGGCATTGCACCTGGCCCCATGGACTTGTGCATGTCTAGCTTTTGTAAATAGTCCTTAACCTGTTCTTTCACCACTCAGGGCTGCTCACCTCCTCCCCATACTGTACTGTCCAGCGCAGCAGTGAGGGAGCTGACCTTGTCTGTGAAGACTGAGGCAAAAAAAAGCATTGAGTACAACAGTTTTTTCCACATCATCTATCACAAGGTCGTCTTCCCCCATTCAGTAAGCCAGGGGCAGATGACCATTTTGCGGGGCCCCGGGCAGCATAATTCCGCGGGGCCCCCCCTTTGCCACGGCGCATGCGCAGCGGCGCCACGGCACATGCACGGGGCTTTCTGTAGCGCGAAGCCCAGGACGGCTGCCCCGTTCGCCCTGCTCTATATCCGCCCCTGCAGTAAGGCTATGTCTAGACTACAGGGTTTTTTTTGGAAAAAAGTGGCCTTTTTTTAAAAAAAAAAAAACTTCACCTTTGTCTAGACTGCCATTGTATTCTTTCAAAATTAAATCGAAAGAACACAGTGGGTTTTTTCGACAGCAGTAAACCTCATTTTATGAGGAAAAACGAAAGAGCTCTTTCGAAAAAAAGGTGTTCTTGACCGCAAACAAGGCTTTTTCAAAAGAGAGCATCCAGATTGCCTGGGTGCTCTCTTTTGAAAAAGCTGATCGCTTTTTCGAAAAAGTTGTGGCTGTCTAGACGATCTCTTTCGAAAGAAGCATATAGTCTAGATGTACCCTAAGGATCCATGCTTTCCATGATCACCTTCTTGTTGCTAACATACTTGTAGAAACCCTTCTTGTTATCCTTCATATCCTTTGTTGCTGCAACTCTAAGTGTACTTTGGCCTTCCTGATTACATTCCTGCATACTCAAGCTCTATTTTTGTATATTTTTATATTCCTCCTTAGTCATTTGTCCCATTTTTTCACTTCTTCTAAACTTCCTTTTTATCTTCAAAATGCAAATTTCTTTCCAATGAGGAAGGCTAGCTCAGAGTCTTTTTAATGTCCATCAAAACTGTTTCTTCAGACAGCCTTAAAGACCTTCAGATTAAAATAGTAAATGGATCCTGGTCAGGATCTGGAGAGGCAAGACAGTTTAATGGATTGAGCATGGCATAGGGAGCTAAGAATTCCTGTACTGTATTCCTGGCACTTCCATTGTGACTGTCAGCACATTCAAAGTCACTTACAGCTTGATCCAACACCCACTAAAATTAGCTGAAGGACTTTCATTGACTTCAGTAACCTCTGGCCTCTGTTTTCATAGCTACAAGAAGAAAGGTATTTACAGTTATACATTGGAGGATTAAAATGTCTGATAATGGCTAGACAGGTAGCAAATTCTTACTGCAGTTTGATGATTGACCAAGAATTGCACATGCATCTAGTACATTCCATGCCACCATTTTTTGTTACTTTACCTCCCCACCCCTGTCCTACACTCAGTCTGCTTGTGTCCCTCATCCCCTTGTTATAACTTGTCTGACTGAGCAGAGACTGTCATTTACTATTTGTACAGTAAATATGACAATAGGGTCCCAACATGCCCTTTGGTGCAACATAAATATTTAAAAACAGTAAAATAATAATAAATAATGCTAATAAAGTGGTTTGAAGACGTAAAGCTCTACATCATAGCTAAGCATTTTTGTGTTTTATTTGTAATATAGTAAATACAACATCAACTGTTTATGCATTTGTTATTCCAGATAAATTCTCACCATTTGCATCCAGCAGTGGTAGAAGAATAAATATGTCCTACACCAGAAAGCTGACTCTTCTAGATGGTGAAAATAGTAAGTGGTAGCTGTGGGTAACATGTTTGAGAGCTCTTGTTACTTCACCATGAGTGTGCATGCACGAAGTTGTAAAGATTTGGAAGAGAAAAGAGCAAACGTAGGATTTTTTTTAATCTAAGATCAGCAGAGCCAAAAGCGTCTGCAAGCCCCTTGCAAGGTAGGGGTGGGGCTAAGGGTGGAAGGGGAATGGCTGAGGGAAGCTGGTCTTCAGTGCTGCCTCGAGTGAGATGCACCTTCCCCCTCCAATCGTTAGTAGTTGCCTGGAGCGTGTGGTTCTCTGGCAGTGATTTAAAGAGCCCAGGGCAATGGCAGCCACTCAGTCCCTTTTGACTTGCCGACGCCCAGGGCACAGACCCCTTTGCTGTCCATCCTTCCTCCCCCCAGCGGTGGGCTTGTCTATGATTGATTGGGCAGGGGAAAACCATAAAGACAGCGTGCTCCAGTCAGCATCTTTAGTGATGATGGTGAATTCCACACTCAGATTCCCAGAGACACTAACCAAGTTTTTTAATAAATGTCCCTAAAATTTAGGATTCTAAAGCCATATTCAGACACTTTAATAAAAGATCAATTTTTCATAGGACCTGAACATCTGTAGTTCCCATTGACTTCACTGGGTTGTGGATAGTCAGCACCTTTGAAACTCTTAGGGTATTATCTACACTACAGAGTTTTGTCGGAAAAATGGTGATTTTTCCGACAAAGCCCGAGTTACTTCAGTACTGCAGTTGCATTCTTCTGAAAGTAAATTGAAAGAACAGAGGGGTTTTTCCAGCGTTGGTAATCCTCTTTCTATGAGGAAGAAGCCTTTTTCCAAAGGAGCTCTTTCGGAAAAAGGCGTGTGTGGACAGGGAAGAGGGAGTTCTTTCGAAAGAAGAGGAAAGAGGAAAAAGCACAGGTATCCTGGTGGCCACTCTGTCCATAGTAATCACAGCTTACGTGCAAGATACCATCCACACTGAATGGACGCTATCTTTCGAAAAAGCAGATTGCTCTTTTGATGTGCTTTTGTATGTGCACGCTCTCTTTTGGAAGAAGATTTTCG